TATTTTTGTAGACACGAAGTCTCGCTGTGTTTCCCAGGCTCATCTCAAACTCCTGGGCTCAAATGATGCTCACACTTCAGCCTCCCAAAGTTCTGGGATTACAGGTGTGAGCCACCATGCCCAGCCAATTATTCCTGTAATAATTTTTTATGTGTCCTTTTTCCTCTGTGCTAAATAAATCTTCCATAATTTATGCTTCCCCAATCATGTTTTTCTCCATTCTTTTGTCACTTACTGTCATGGAAAGTCTCAGCCCACACTCTGAATTAGATAGTTTGTTTTTTTGTTGGTTTTTTTGTGACACAGAGTCTCAGTCACCAAGGCTGAAGTGCATTGCATAATCTTGGCTCACTACAACCTCCCCTACCTGGGTTCAAGTGATTCTCCTGCCTCAGCCTTCCTAGTAGCTGGGATTACAGGCACATGCCATCATGCCCACCTAATTTGTATATTTTTTAATAGAGATAGCATTGGCCGGTGTTGGCCAGGCTGGTTTCAAACTGCTGACCTCAAATTATCTGCCCACCTCGGCCTCCCAAAGTGCTGGGATTATAGGCATGAGCCACTATGCCTGGCCTAGATCATTTTATAGTAAGAGAAAATGTGAGGATTATTTTTTATGTTTTTATTCAAATCCTGTTTCTTTCACAGTACCTCTAATGTGTTTTCTGACCTTGGGCATAGCGATCATCTATTTATTTCTTAGATTTTGGTTTAGCTGTTTGAAAATAATAGTAGCTTAAATAAGAAAAGAATTTATCTTTCATGTAAAGTCTGTGTAAGCAGTGTGGGACTGCCATGGTTATCACTATCATTAAGAACCCAGGTCCCTTCAAGGCTTTTTTGGCCGTTCTCAACATAAGATTTCTAACTCAGTCCATGATGACTGCTTCCCTTCCAGATACCATATCTGCATTCTAGCCAGCAGGAAGAAAAAGAGCATGCCTCCTCACCTTCAGAACCTGTCCTAGAAGTTACATACACCAGTGCTGTTTATTTTCCGTTTAGTAGTCATATAGCCACTTCTAGAATTTGGTGTTTTGTTTTGTTTTGTTTTTTCCTTTTTGGAGACAGTGTCTTACTCTGTCACCCAAGCTGGGGTGCAGTGGCAAGATTGTGGCATACTGCAGCCTCAACCTCCCAGTCTCTAGCAATCCTCCCATATCAGCTTTCCTGAGTAGCTGGGACTATAGGCACGGGCTGCCACGCCCAGCTAATTTTTAAATTTTTTTGTAGAAAAGGGGTTTTGCTAAGTTGCTAAGGCTGGTTTCAAACTCCTGGGCTCAAGCAGTCTGTCCACCTCACCCTCCCAAGGTGCTGAGATTACAGGTATGAGCCACCATGCCCAGCCAAAATTTTCAAGGGGGCAAATATAGCCTTTATTACAGGAAGCTGGGTGTAAGTGTCAAGGGTCTGTTAATGCTGAAGAGGAGGAGACACTGGAAATCAACTTATATTTATAGCTTCTACAACTATTCTTTGTCTTCTGTTCCTTTCAATTATAGCTCATTTATTTTCATTACATTGTGGGTTTTGGAGCAGCTGATTACCCAAGGAATTTTATCTTGTAGGGAAACCCCTTTGAATGAAATAGTCTCCAGAAATATAAACAAAATCTATAAAAGCAGGGCTACTTTGATTGGCAGGTAGGATGGTTAAGAGAGAGTATTGTTGCCGGGCGCGGTGGCTCAAGCCTGTAATCCCAGCACTTTGGGAGGCAGAGGCGGGTGGATCACAAGGTCAAGAGATCGAGACCATCCTGGTCAACATGGTGAAACCCCGTCTCTACTAAAAATACAAAAAATTAGCTGGGCATGGTGGTGCGTGCCTGTAATCCCAGCTACTCAGGAGGCTGAGGCAGGAGAATTGCCTGAACCCAGGAGGGGGAGGTTGCGGTGAGCCGAGATCGTGCCATTGCACTCCAGCCTGGGTAACAAGAGCGAAACTCCGTCTCAAAAAAAAAAAAAAAAAAAGAGAGAGTATTGTTCTTTTCATCACCTTTACTGGCTTCTCTCCTCTGTCCCTCCACCCCTTCCTATGCCTGAGGACTGTTTAAAAAACAGAGCTTTAAACTATAGGCCGGGTGCAGTGGCTCACACCTGTAATCCCAGCACTTTGGGAGGCCAAGTGGCCAACAATGGTGAAACCCTGTCTCTACTAAAAATAGAAAAAAAAATTAGCCAGGCATGTTTTGGTGGCATGTGCCTGTAATCCCAGCTACTCGGGAGGCTGAGGCAGGAGAATCACTTGAACCAGGGAGGCAGAGGTTGCAATGAGCCAAGATCATGCCACTGCACTCCAGCCTGGGCAACAGAGTGAGACTTTGACTCAAAAAAAGAGAAAATACAGTCATTTCCCCATTCACTTCCCATTTTTAATTTTCAAAATAGTACATTTCTGCCTTTGATAATTAATCTAAGTTTGACATAAATAAGGCTTTTTTTGGTGAATTCTTTATTTTGAATGTTGTTTTAGAATCTAATATACTTTTCCTTTCATTTAAATATAACCTACTCCATACAGATTAGAAGCTAGAAAATATTATAAAAGGAACTGAGGCCGGGCGCGGTGGCTCACGCCTGTAATCCCAGCACTTTGGGAGGCTGAGGCGGGTGGATCACAAGGTCAAGAGATCGAGACCATCCTGGTCAACATGGTGAAACCCTATCTCTACTAAAAATACAAAAAATCAGCTGGGCATGGTGGCACGTGCCTGTAATCCCAGCTACTCAGGAGGCTGAGGCAGGAGAATTGCCTGAACCCAGGAGGCGGAGGTTGCCATGAGCCAAATTCGCGCCATTGCACTCCAGCCTGGGTAACAAGAGCGAAACTCCATCTCAAAAAAAAAAAAAAAAAAGGAACTGAAATGTCTGAATCTATAATTAATTCAAAACCATTCACTGAATAAATTATAATGATTATGCTGAACTCAGTGTGATGCTGGTGTTCTATGCCTAAATAGAATTTACTGTGAATTTTTGGTTAGACTCAAAAGCCTTCCCAGCATATGTGTATCTGTGCATTGGATCAGCTCTGTAAGAGAAACTTTACCAAGTATTAGTTAATTACATATTTTTAAAATTCTTCTAGCCAGGACTATATCTCTTATTTTCTCCTTTCATGAATATAGAGTTCTAGCATCTTTCCCTCTGCTCTGACCCTACCATTTCCTCAGCATGGCTGGACCAGAAACAAGGGGAGAGGATGCAGAAAATTGTCTGCTATAAAATAAATCACTGGCAGCTTTGTAGTCAACTATTTGTCTCTCTTTATATTAGATTACTGAGCAGCTTAAATCAGTTTTTAAGCTTGTAGGTGTTTTTCTGCCAAAGATAATTTTCTGTAAGGGGTAACTTCTTTCTCTCTTTTTTTTCCCTCTGGACATTTAAAGACATAGTTTGGGCTGGACACAGTGGCTCATACTTGTAATCCCAGCACTTTGGGAGGCCAAGGTGTGTGGATCCTCTGAACTCAGGAGTTCAAGACCACTGTGGGCAACATGGTGAAACCCCATCTCTACTAAAACACACACAAAAAAAAGCCAGGCATAGTGGCATGTATCTGTAGTCTCAGCTACCTGGAAGGCTGAGACACGAGAATCAGTTGAGCCTGGGAGGCAGAGGTTGCAGTGAGCCGAGATCATGCCACTGCACTCCAGCTTACCAACTTAGGCTACAGAATGAGACCCCTGTCTCAAAAATAACAAGAATTTGAATAGAATAGTCTTGTTTAGGAATACCACATCAGGGTTATCACTACTTAAAATAACAAAACAATCTTGCAGGATCTTAGGGCCATTTGCATTAGTATCAGTTCATATAAAGAATACATATAAAAGGCTCAGGGCTCAGGGAATTGAACTGAATTTACTTTGACATGCTTAAAAAAAAACTTTGTATCTTATTTATTTTAACATTCCTATTTTGTTCCCATTGTGGTCATAAAAACAGTATAGAATATAGGAGCAATTTTTTAAATGGTTTTGCTTTCTGACTCTTTTGGAGTCAGACATTTATTATTTGGCATGTTAGGCCTCTTAGGAATTTTACCTGAACCCAAAGAGAATAGACAGACTTCTAAGCTTTGAAAAATTCAGCCAGGCATGGTGGCTCACACCTGTAATCCCAGCACTTTGGGAGGCCAAGGTGGGTGGATTACTTGAGGTTAAGAGTTCAAGACCAGCCTGGCCAACATGGTGAAACCCCGTCTGTATTAAAAATACAGACATTAGCCAGGAGCGGTGGCATGCACCTATAAGCCCAGTTACTCGGGAGGCTGAGGCAGGAGAATTGCTTGAACACAGAAGGTAGTGGTTTCAGTGAGCCAAGATGGTGCCACTGCCCTCCAGCCTGGGTGACAGAGCAAGAATCCACCTAAAAAAAAAGAAGAAAGAAAAATTATACATTCATAATTGTCATGATGCAGGTAAATCCTACATTTCAGTTTTTCTTACTTTACATAGTCGGCAGCATAGAGTAACAGATGACATCTTAAAAAAATGTTAAGTAGTTTTGCTCTAATCTATATCCTCCTGCCATAGCAGTGAACTAGTCCTATAGAACAGAAATGTTATTTAGTGTAGTATATCAACAGTATGTTTTTTAATCTTGGCCTGAAGCCCATGTTCCTGGTAAGACATAAAAATTTGAGGCCGGACACAGTGGCTCATGCCTGTAATCCCAGCACTTTGGGAGGCCAAGGCAGGTGGATCATCTGAGGTCAGGAGTTCGAGACCAGCCTGGCCAACATAGTGAAACCCCATCTTTATTAAAAATACAAAAAATTAGCTGGGCATGGTGGTTCATGCTGTAATCCCAGCTACTCAGGAGGTTGAGGCAGAAGAATCACTTCAACCTGGGAGGCGGAGGCTGCAGTGAGCCGAGATTGTGCCATTGCACTCCAGCCTGGGCAACAACAGCAAGACTCCATTTCAAAAAATAAATTTTTCTGAGAAATGATTTACTTGGCATTTTGCGTCAATATGTTACCTTCCATTTTAGGTCTATCATTTGGCAAGCGTACGCTTACGTGATCTATGTCTAAAACTGGATGTTTCAAATGAGTTGCGAAGGAAGATATGGACGTGTTTTGAATTCACTTTAGTTCACTGCCCTGATCTAATGAAAGACAGGCATTTGGATCAGCTCCTCCTCTGTGCCTTTTATATCATGGCAAAGGTAATGTATAAATTGGAAGAAGACACTGGGCATGGTGGCTCACATCTATAATCCCAGCACTTTGGGAGGTCAAGGCGAGCAGATTGCTTGAGCTCAGAAGTTTGAGACCAGCTTGGACAACATGGTGAAACCTTGCCTCAACAAAAAATATAAAAATTACCTGGGCGTTATGGCTTACACATATAGTCCCAGCTACCTGGGAGGCTTTCTATTAGATTATTGAGTAGATTAAATTAGTTTTTAAGCTCAGTTTATAGGTGTTTTTCTGCCAAAGATAATTGAGGTGGGAGGATCTCTTGCACCTAGAAGCCCAGGGCTGCAGTGAGCTGAGATCATGACACTACACCCCAGCCTGAGCAACAGAGCGAGACCCTGTCTCAAAAAAAAAAAAAGTTTCTATACCATATTGCATGTTGCTTTCTCATGATTTATTGTGCTGACTCAGAAGAGCATTTTACTTTCTAGTTGCTACAACATGTTTTAAGCTATAGAATAACATATCTTGCTTGTTTTTTAAAATTCTGATATATCTGACACAATCATTTGTCTTGCCCTTACTGGCCACAGGCAGTCCTAGCAGATATATACAGTTAAAACTTGATTTTTCAGGTTTTTGAGACAGAGGATATGTTATTAAACTCCTTTGCGACCCTCCTCCCACAATGCCTCTTTGAAATCTCTGTAAAAAATAGATCTTAATAATTGTTACTGTAGAACTATGGCAGTTGACAAGAACAAGCACCTTACAAAAGGCAGCAAAAAGGGAACCAAGAAGAAAATGATTGGTCTGTTTTCTAAGAAATATTGGTATATGTAAAATATCTGCTATGTTCAATAGAAGAAATATTGGAAAGACGCTAGTTACCAGGACTCAGGGAACCAAATTGCATCTGATAGCCTCAGGAGTCATGTGTTTGAACTGAATCTTGCTGATTTGCAGAATCATGAAGTCTCAGTTAGAAAACTCAACCTGATTACTAAAGATATTTGGGACAAAAACTGCCTAACTTCCATGACACGGATCTTACTCATGACAAAGTATGTTCCATGGTCAAAAAATGGCATATCATGGTCGATGCTCATGTCGATGTCAAAACTACCAAAGTAAGCCGGGCGCGGTGGCTCAAGCCTGTAATCCTAGCCCTTTGGGAGGCTGAGGCGGGTGGATCACGAGGCCAAGAGATTGAGACCATCCTGGTCAACATGGTGAAACCTCATCTCTACTAAAAATACAAAAAAAAAAATTAGCTGGGCATGGTGGCGCGTGCCTGTAATCCCAGCTACTCAGGAGGCTGAGGCAGGAGAATTGCCTGAAGCCAGGAGGCGGAGGTTGCAGTGAGCCGAGATCACAGCACTGCACTCCAGCCTGGGTAACGAGGAAAACTCCGCCTCAAAAAAAAAAAACTACCAAAGTTAAAAAAAAGTTATTTGCTTCAACTGTTCTGTGTTGGTTTTACTAAAAAACACATCAGATACAGAAGACTTCTTGTGTTCAGTACCAACAGGTCCTCCAAATCCAGAGGAAGATGATGGAAATCATGACCCAAGAGGTATAGACAAATGACTTGAAGTGGTCAATAAATTGATTCTAGACAGCATTAGAAAAAAACATAGAAAAGGCTTGCCAATCTATTTATCCTTTCCATGATGCCTTAGTTAGAAAAGTAAAAATGCTGAAGAAGCCCAAGTTTGAATTGGGAAAACTCATGAAGCTTCATGGTGAAGGTAGTAGTTCTGGAAAAGCATCTGGGGTGAAACAGTTGCCAAAGTTGAATGAACTGATGGATATGAAACACTGATCTGAGAGCCTGTTTAAAGTTCAGACTTATAATAGTGGCAAATACAAAGTTCTATTTGTAAAAAGTTAAAAGATCATGTTTTCCAGAAGACTGTCAGAGTTCAGGCTAACTAATCATGTGTGTTTTCCGGAAATCAGAGTTCAGGCTTTGCCATTTCTAGCTCATCTTTATAGAGAAAGGTTTAGCACTAATGGACAGTGAAGCAGGGGAAAAGAGTAACTTGCATGAAGTTTATGATCACAGAGATACCAAAAGGAATTCCTTTTTGGATCACTAACCCATTTTCTTACTTTTGGCCACCACTGTGACTTCTGTCTAAGCATTAGAAACAGTCGGGCACAATGGCTCATGCCTATAATCCCAGCACTTTGGGAGTCTGGGGTGGGCAGATTACATGGTCAGGAGTTCAAGACCAGCCTAACCAACATGGAGAAACCCCGTCTCTACTAAAAATATAAAATTAGCCAGGTGTAGTGGCCTGCAACTGTAATCCCAGCTACTCGGGAGGCTGAGGCAGAAGAATCCCTTGAACCCAGGAAGCGGAGGTTGCGGTGAGCTGAGATCATGCCATTGCACTCCAGCCTGGGCAACAAGAGCAAAATTCCGTCTCAAAAAAAAAAAAAAAAAAAAAAAGAATCCCTATAGTCTGTTGTGAATGTTAGAACCTAAACCTATAATAGCTACTCAGTTTTATGGAGAATCACTGTGAAGTATTTTCAGTCCTTAGTATGTGGTTAATTTACTTTTAATTAAGTACTTTTAAAATTAATAAAACTAGAGACTACAGGGGATTCAACAGATCTGAGTTTGCTTATATCATTTTTTATATAAAGAAATGTATTTTAGTAAAGTCACATTATAGCAGTTTCAGTGCTTTTTGATTAATGAAACTATTAAGTGAGTCCCCACAGGCCACAAAGGCTGAACTTTAAAGGTAGAAAAAAATCATAAATGTTAGTGGTTTTTAGTCATGGACTGGTCTGGGGTTAATGGTTTTCTGCAAGGCTGCTCTCAGTGCCAACTTAAAGTTTTTGTTCAGATTCGTTTTTCTTTCAAAAAGCAGTTGATAAATGCAGTTTTTATTTTCCTTAGGTAACAAAAGAAGAAAGAACTTTTCAAGAAATTATGAAAAGTTACAGGAATCAGCCCCAAGCTAATAGTCATGTGAGTCACATTATTTTTCCTACTGTCCAAAAATAAATTTGCTCTTTTTCCACTGACAAATCATATAAAAGGTAAACTTCTTTTATAGTTTTAATATACTTTAGATTTTCTGCTTTAATGGATAACATTAAACTCAAGAGACAATTTCATTGAAAGACAGTTTCAATAGAAGCCAGGAAATCTGACTGTTTCTGACTCATCGATACAGTTGCATATACTTGTCATAAGTTCTGCCATTCCATTTGCTCATTTAATGAAAGATATGTATAATAATATTCTTTAATTATGTGAGACTGATTTTTTTGATGATGTTTAAACCCAGTGAGATTTGAGGATTCATTAACTACAGCGTTTGCCATCTGCTAAGCATCCTAATGTTTGCATCTTTGAATAGACATTAAATATTTCTGATTATATTATTCTGGCCATGGTGAAAATTCAGTAAAACCTTTCAGTCATGGGAGCAGAGTGGACTGGCACACAGTAAGCATTTAATGAATGTTAATATCATATTGTTGTTGTTATTGTACCTGAAGAACACAAGTAAATTACTTTAATGATCTTTCAAGAACCTAGCTGCTGGCCAGGCGGGTTGGCTCACGCCTGTAATCCCAGCACTTTGGGAGGTTGAGGTGGGTGGATCACGAGGTCGGGAGTTTAAGATCAGTCTGGCCAGCATAGTGAAACCCCATCTCAACTAAAAATACAAAAAATTAGCTGGGTGTGGTGGTGCACACCTGTAATCTCAGCTACTCAGGAGGCTGAGGCAGAAGAATCCCATGAACCTGGGAGGTGGAGGTTCCAGTGAGCAGAGACTGTGCAACTGTACTCCAGCCCAGCCTTCAGTGCAAGACTCTTGTCTCAAAAAAAAGAAGAACCTAGTTGCTCTGCTCTTAGAAGCATAATGGCCTCTTCTTTGGCCCTGAAAATTGTAGAGAGAAGTAGTGGCCTAGATTGCAGACCAAAACAGAGATGGGGCCTCACACTACTAGTAGTTATATCCCCTTCTAAGAGAGCTTTGTTTAAGCCCTAAAATATCTTATAGCAAGCAATACAGAAACATTTGGAGAACCAAGTACAGGCATTTGTTATATCCTGTGATAAACTAAGATTTTCTGGGCCTCTTTAGAAAATCCCTCAGGAACGGAGCCTAGAAAGCTCCAGATTATCCTTGAAGATCATTAAGGTGAGGTTAGTATGAGTCAGAAATGGGCCAAGCCACAGCTTCCTGTATGTCCTCTTAATACCAGTAACCTATAATATAGTACAAGGGGGAATGAATCATGCCTTTCCAGCTATCTCAGAGGTGAGAAACAGTTTTAGGGACAGGGAGGGGAAACGATTCTCATGTGGCCATCTGAAAGGAGATAGGAATGGGCTGGGAGCAGGAAAACAAGCTTCATTAAGAACTAATGACTTGGCCAGAGCAGTGGCTTGCGCCTGTAATCCCACCAGTTTGGGAGGCCAAGTCAGGCAGATCGCTTGAGCCCAGGAGGTCAAGGCTGCAATGAACCATGATTGTGCCACTGCACTCCAGTTTAAGCCATGGAGTGAGACCCTGGCTCTAAAAAAAAAAAAAAGAAAAAAGAAAAAAAGAGACCAATTGATTCTTATGTAAGGAATTAAAAAGGAGGAGGAATTAATTCAAGTCTTTGTTTTTTTGTTTGTTTGTTTTTTTGAGATGGAGTCTCGCTCTATTGCCTAGACTGGAGTGCAGTGGCGTGATCTCAGCTCAATGCAACCTCCACCCCCTGGGTTCAAGCAATTCTGCCTCAGCCTCCCTAGTAGCTGAAATTACAAGTGTGTGCTACCATGCCCAGCTAATTTTTGTGTTTTTAGTAGAGATGGGCTTTTAGCATGTTGGCCAGGCTGGTCTCAAACTCCAGGCCTCAAGTGATCCATCTGTCTTGGCCTCCCAAAATGTTGGGATTACACTGGCCAAATTCAGGTCTTAGTTGCTTTTATTTAGTAAAACCTGATCATCAGTCTTTAGTTGCTACTACTTCTGTTTTATAAACTAAGCCCATCTTAGGTTGTAGGCTCTTCTCCAGTATCCCCTCTTTTATGGTATGTGTTATAATCTATAGTTACTTGAACTAATAACATTTTACCCTTGAGTATCACTTATACAGTCAAATAGTTGTTTTTTGATTTTGTTTGTTCGTTTGTTTGAGATGGCGTCTCAAAGTGTCACTCAGGCTAGAGTGCAGTGGCGCAGTCTTGGCTCATTGCAAACTCCCTCTTTCAGGTTCAAGTGATTCTCCTGCCTCAGCCTCCCAAATAGCTGGGATTACAGGTGCCTGCCACCATGCCCAGTTAATTTTTTGTATTTTTACTAGAGATGAGATTTCACTGCATTGGTCAGGCTGACCTCATGATATGTCCACCTTGGCCTTCCAAAGTGCTGGGATTATAGGCATGAGCCACCATGCCCAGCCCAAATAAATAGTTAATTGGCTTGATATTTTCCTCTTCTCATTTTGATTTTGTTTAACCTGTACCTCTGTGACTGAGCAGTTCTTTTTTTCCCCCTCTGGTCTGTAGGTATATAGAAGTGTTCTGCTGAAAAGTATTCCAAGAGAAGTTGTGGCATATAATAAAAAGATAAATGATGACTTTGAAATGATAGATTGTGGTAAGTTACCCAATTTAACATGCTATATGTAAAACACATTGGATCACACTGTACATAATATAGTGGGTATCAGACAACATGGAAATATGAATCCTGAGGAGGTAAGATGGACAATACACACGTTTTGAAAACAAATAAGTTTGAGATTAGAATGTGCTGCTATAGTGTATTAAAACCATTAATTTGTCCCGTTAATTGTGTTTTGGAAGAAGTTTTCTAGTCTATTTATACGTGTTAATGAAACACATAAAAGAAACTTAAAATTCTAAAATATGAATGGCAGAGAAAACAAGGTAGCTGACAGTAATCTTCCTGAGGAGTCTATTAACAAAATGTCAGGCCGGGCGCGGTGGCTCACGCCTGTAATCCCAGCACTTTGAGAGGCTGAGGCGGGTGGATCACGAGGTCAAGAGATCGAGACCATCCTGGTCAATGTGGTGAAACCCCATCTCTACTAAAAATATTTTTTAAAAAAATTACCTGGGCATGGTGGCGCATGCCTGTAATCCCAGCTACTCAGGAGACTGAGGCAGGAGAATTGCCTGAACCCAGGAGGTGGAGGTTGTGGTGAGCCGAGATTGTGCCATTGCACTCCAGCCTGGGTAACAAGAGCAAAACTCCGTCTCAAAAAAAAAAAAAAAAATGTCCTATTCAGGTGGGGCATGGTGACTCACACCTGTAATCCCAGTCCTTTGGGAGGCTGAGGCCAGCAGATCACCTGAGGTCGCAAGTTTGAGACCAGCCTGACCAACATATAGAGAAACTTCATCTCTACTACAAATACAAAATTAGCCAGGCGTGGTGGCACATTCCTGTTATCCCCTCTACTCGGGAGGCTAAGGCAGGAGAATTGCTTGAACCCAGGAGCCAGAGGTTGCAGTGAGCCGAAATCACACCATTGCACTCCAGCCTGGGCAACAAGAGCAAAACTCTGTCTCAAAAAAAAAGACAAACAAGGGCCGGGCGCGGTGGCTCAAGCCTGTAATCCCAGCACTTTGGGAGGCCGAGGCGGGTGGATCACGAGGTCAAGAGATCGAGACCATCCTGGTCAACATGGTGAAACCCCGTCTCTACTAAAAATACAAAAATTAGCTGGGCGTGGTGGCGCCTGCCTGTAATCCCAGCTCGGGAGGCTGAGGCAGGAGAATTGCTTGAACCCAGGAGGCGGAGGTTGCAGTGAGCCGAGATCGCGCCATTGCACTCCAGCCTGAGTAACAAGAGCGAAACTCTGTCTCAAAAAAAAAAAAAAAAAAGACAAACAAAAAAGACAAAACATCCTGTTCATAAAAGTATTATGTATAGGTAATTCTGTTACCACAGGCAAGAATGTACCCTCTTGCCACTGTCATGTTAAAACTTCACGCACCAATTATCTTTTTTTCAAGGAAAAGAAAATGAAATGTTTAGTCTTCATACACCTCTTCTGCCTACCTCCTTTCCCTTGTCTCATCTTTCCATGTATTTAAAGTATAAGTAATACATACATGTGTATATAGATACTGTGATTTTTTTTTTTTTTTTGAGACAGAGTTTTGTTCTGTCACCTACACTGGAGTGCAGTGGCATGATCATGACTAACTACAGCATTGACCTCCCAGGCTTAAGCAATCCTCCCACCTCAGCCTCCTGAGTAGCTGGAACTACAGGCATGTGCCACCACCCTGGCTAATTTTTATATTTTTTGTAGAGACAGGTTTTTGCCATGTTTGCTCAGGTCTCAAAATCGTGAATTCAAGTGATTCACTCACCTGGGCCTCCCCAAGTAATGAGTTTGCAGTCATGAGCCACATGCCAAGCCTCGGTACTGTGATTTCCTCAGTTCCACAGTGTGAGACATTTAGGTCATTTTCCCTTCCTCTTCCATTTCTCCTTCCCCTCCCTGCCCCTTTGTTTCTTTTCTTTTCTTTTCTTTTGTGAGACAGGATCTCACTCTGTTACCCAGGCAGGAATGCAGTGACAAAATCATGACTTGGCAGCCTTGACTTCAGGACTCATTCCATCTCAGTCTTGCTGCCACACCCGACTAATTTTTTGTAGAGGTTGGATTTTGCCATGATGCCCAGGCTGGTCTCCACCTCCTGAGCTCAAGCAATCTGCCCACCTCAGCCTCCCAAAGTGTTGAGATGACAGGTGCGAGCCACCATTCCTGGCCAAGTTGCTTCTAGTTACGCACAGCTCTGTGATGAGCATTATTTGTAGCTTAATCTTTAGGCCACATCCTTAGGATAAATTCTTTTTTTTTTTTTGAGACAGAGTCCCGCACTGTCGCCCAGGCTGTAGTACCAGTGGCGCAATCCTGGCTCACTGCAGTCTCCGCCTCCCAAGTTCAAGTAATTCTCCTGCCTCAGCCTCCCCCAGTAGCTGGGACTACAGGCATGTGCCATGACACCCAGCTACTTTTTTTGTATTTTTAGTAGGGACGGGGTTTCACCATGCTGGCCAGGATGGTCTCAATCTCCTGACCTCATGATCTGCATGCCTCAGCTTCCCAAAGTACTGGGATTACAGGTGTGAGCCATCGTACCTGGCAAGATAAATTCTTAAGAGAAAATTTGCTGAATTAAAACAGATTTTTTAATTACAAAAATATTGAGGCTGGGCACAGTGGCTCATGCCTGTAAACCCAGCACTTTGGGAGGCTGAGACGGGTGGATCACCTGAGGTCAGGAATTCGAAGCCACCCTGGCCAACATGGTAAAACTCCCGTCTCTAAAAAAAAAAAAAAAAAAGAAATTTTTTAAAAAAGAAAAATAAAAATTCAAAAATATCCATAATCATTATGGTGTCCATTGGGATATAAACTTTTTTTTTTTTTTTTTTTTTTTGAGACAGAGTCCCACTCTGTCACCAGGCTGGAGTGCAGTGGTATGATGTCAGCTCACTGCAACCTCTACCTCCCGGGTTCAAGCAATTCTCCTGCCTCAGCCTCCCGAGTAGCTGGGACTATAGGCACGCACCACCACACTCAGCTAATTTTTGTATTTTTAGTAGAGATGGGGTTTTACCATGTTGGCCTGAATGGTCTTGATCTCTTGACTTTGTGATCCGCCTGCCTCAGCTTCCCAAAGTTTTGAAATTACAGGCATGAGCCACCATGCCTGGCCAGGTATAAACTTTTAACATTTCATTCCCCAAAAAGATCTTTTAATAATGTCCTAGAATCTGACTCCATTTGAGGTTAATAGGCCAAACTTAATTCTCTTTATGTAAGTGTATTATTCTGGAGCCTTTTCAAGGCAATGAGGAGTATATAAGATAGTAACCCTGGCCAGGTGGAATGGCTTACACCTCTAATCCCAGCATTTTGAGAGACCTAGGTAGGTGGATCACCTGAGGTCAGGAGTTTGAGACCAGCCTGGCCAACATGGTGAAATCCTGTCTCTACTAAAAATACAAAAATTAGGCTGGGCACAGTGGCTCACACCTGTAATCCCAGCACTTCGAGAGGCCTAGATGGGTGGATCATGAGGTCAAGAGATCGAGACCATCCTGGTCAATATGATGAAACCCCGTCTCTACTAAAAATACAAAAATTAGCTGGGCATGGTGGCACATGCCTGTAGTCCCAGCTACTCAGGAGGCTGAGGCAGGAGAATTGCTTGAACCCAGGAGACAGAGGTTGTGGTGAGCCAAGATCGCGCCATTGCACTCCAGCCTGGGTAACAAGCGAAACTCCATCTCAAAAAAAACAAAAACAAAAACAAAAATACAAAAATTAGCTGGACATGGTGGTGGGCGCCTGTAATCCCAGCTACTCAGGAGGCTGAGGCAGGAGAACTGCTTGAACCCAGGAGGTGGAGGTTACAGTGAGCCAAGATCATGCCACTGCACTCCAGCCTGGGTGACAGAGTGAGACTCCATCTCAAAAAAAAAAGCCAGGCTCAGTGGCTCATGCCTGTAATCCTAGCACTTTGGGAGGCCAAGGCGCATGGATCACGAGATCAGGAGTTCAAGACCAGCCTGGCCAAGATGGTGAAACCCCATCTCTACAAAAAATACAAAAGTTAGCCAGGTGCAGTGGCAGGTGCCTGTAATCCCAGCTACTTAGGAGGCTGAGGCAGGAGAATCGCTTGAGCCCAGGTGGCAGAAGTTGCAGTGAGCCCAGATCACAGCACTGCACTCCAGCCTGGGTGACAGAGTGAGACTCCGTCTTAAAAACAAAAACAAAAAAACAGACAGTAACCCTGACAAACTGTTTAAAAGGCTTTTTCTATATCTGTTATACATGTTGCTTGCCTATCCAGAATGGTTTTTCTGTTCCTACAAAACTAAACATCAGAGGTCAGCTAGAAAGCTGTGGATCCCTTGCCTGTTTTGTGTTTTTTCTATGAGAAACTAATTCCTGGCAAGTATCTGAGATAAAAGAGCAGCGAAGTTCTAGAGAGTAGAAGTAAGCAAAAGATAATAGATGATGTTTTTCGTTTTGTTTTCTTTTTGATAAGTATCTGCCAAAGAAGCTTGAGGTGACTGAAGTTTTGCCACTTCCTGTATATATAGTTTTCAGATAAAATTCTGTTACACAATTTTTTTTTTTTTTTTGAGACACAGTCTCACCCAGCTAATTTTTGTATTTTTAGTAGAGACGGCGTTTTGCCATGTTGTCCAGGCTGGTCTTGAACTCTGACCTTAGGTGATCTGCCTGCCTCAGCCTCTAAAAGTGCTGGGATTACAGACGTGAGCCACCACACTCTACCTTACATACAGTTATTAACTAGATATTTATTAGCAAGTAAGCAAAAAAACATTGTTACAGGTCCTATACAATGGTGATGGCACAGGGTAGGGAAAATATCCAGTGATAATGAACTCAGGAATTCTGGCACTCAAAAAGAGAGTGATAAAATCCCAGCACTTTGGGAGGCTAAACCAGGAGGATTACTTGAACCCGAGAGTTCGAGACCAGCATGAGTAACACAGTGAGAGCCCATTGCTACAAAACATTTAAAAAATTAGGGCCATGCATGGTGATTCATGCCTATAATCCAAGCACTTTGGGAGGCCTAGGTGGGTGGATTACAAGGTCAGGAGTTTGAGGCCAGACTGGCCAATATGGGGAAACCATGTCTCTACTAAAATTACAAAAAATAGCTGGCATGGTGGCAGGTGCCTGTAGTCCCAGCTATTCAGGAGGCTGAGGCAGGAGAATTGCTTGAACCCAGGAGACGGAGGTTGCAGTGAGCTGAGATCAAGCCATTGCACTCCCATTCTGGGCGACAGAGGGAGATTCTCTCCAAAAAACAATTTTTTTTTTTAATTTTAAAAATTAGCCACATGTGGTGGTGAATGCCTATAGTCCAAAATACTCAGGAGGCTGAATTGGGGGTGTTGGCTTAAGCCCAGGATGTCAAGGCTGCACTGAGCCATCCATGATCTTGTCACTGTACTCCAGACAGAGCAAGATCCTGTCTCAAAAAAAAAGAAGAAAAAGCTGGGCGCGGTGGCTCAAGCCTGTAATCCCAGCACTTTGGGAGACCGAGGCGGGTGGATCACGAGGTCGAGAGATCGAGACCATCCTGGTCAATATGGTGAAACCCCGTCTCTACTAAAAATACAAAAAATTAGCTGGGCATGGTGGCTCGTGCCTGTAATCCCAGCTACTCAGGAGGCTGAGGCAGGAGAATTGCCTGAACCCAGGAGGCGGAGGTTGCGGTGAGCCGAGATCACGCCATTGCACTCCAGCCTGGGTAACAAGAGCGAAACTCCGTCTCAAAAAAAAAAAAAAAAAAAAAAAAAAAGAAGAAAAAAACGAAAGATAAAAGTTATATAAGAAGATATACAATCAAACAAGTCTGTATTCAGATAAGTCATCTTCCAGTTCTTGGAGCTTTGCCTAGATGCTATGACCTAGACTTGGACACACCAAAGAACACCAATGTAGGAAAAACAGCTCTGGTTCTATAAACAAATTCGTTATGGGTGGTAAAATAACTACTGTTTAAAAAGCACCGACGGAGTTTGTGTATACTATGCAGTAAGTTCAGATGTCCGTTCTCTGTCCGACCGCCAGCCATAGAAAAGATTTGCTCAATAACAGGTGCCAAGATTTCAGATGCAGGATTCAGTCAACCTTCAATCTAGCATCAAGCAAATACCATGGATCAGAATTCAGGGCTGGACATGGGACTTCTCAGAGCTTTTAGCCTTACATTATCACCCCTAAGAGTAAAGCCAAGAGACTTCACTGGATCTTTCATCCCTTTCATGCTATTGAGGGTAGTGTCTCAAATATTTTAACCAAGCTGCTTATCTTAAATACTTTTTATTTCTTGAACATGAGCTCATTTTTAGCATTAGTCACACTTAATAAACATTCACTATTTTCTTTTTCTTTTTTTTCTTTTCTTTTTTGAGACAAACCTTTGCTCTTGTTGCCCAGGCTGGAGTGCAATGGCACAATCTCAGCTCACTGCAACCTTTGCCTCCTGGGTTCAATCGATTCTCCTGCCTCAGCCTTCTAAGTAGCTGGGATTACAGGCATGCACCATCATACCTGGCTAATTTTGTGTTTTTAGTAGAGACAGGGTTTCTCCATGTTGGTCAGGCTGGTCTCGAACTTCCAACCTCAGGTCATCCGCCCACCTCGGCCTCCCAGAGTGCTGGGATTACAGGCATGAGTCACACTGCACTTGGCCAATATTCGCTGGTTTTTGTTGTTGTTGTTGTTGTTGTTGTTTTTGAGACAGAGTTTCACTCTTGTTACCAAGGCTGGAGTGCAATGGCGCGATCTTGGCTCACCGCAACCTCTGCCTCCTGGGTTCAGGCAATTCTCCTGCCTCAGCCTCCTGAGTAGCTGGGATTACAGGCACGCGCCACCACGCCCAGCTAATTTTTTGTATTTTTAGTAGAGACGGGGTTTCACCATGTTGACCACGATGATCTCGATCTCTTGACCTCGTGATCCACCCGCCTCGGCCTCCCAAAGTGCTGGGATTACAGGCGTGAGCCACCGCGCCCGGCTAAAATTTTTTATAGAGACAGGGTTTCACTGCCCCCAACCTCCCACAATTTTAAATGTTTGGTTCATTCAAATAAAGTATAGCTCCTTACCTTACTTAAATATTAACAACTGGAATTGGAATGAAACAGAAATATGAAGACACTACAATTTCTGTCTCAAGAAATTTCTTATCCAAGGAGGACATTAAATAATTTTAGGCCATGTATCATCACTAATGTCTGTAATCCCAGCACTTTGGGAGGCCAAGGTGGGAGGATCACTTGAGCCCAGGAGTTGGAGGCGAGCCTAGACAACATAGGGAGACCCTATCTCTACAAAAGGTTTAAAAAAAAAAGCCTAGTGTAGCAGCATGCAACTGTAGTCCCAGCTACTCAGGAGGCGGAGGCAAAAGATCAAGAACCTGTCATTGCCAGGCCCGTTGGCTCAAGCCTGTAATCCCAGCACTTTGGGAGGCTGAGGCGGGTGGATCACGAGGTCAAGAGATCGAGACCATCCTGGTCAACACGGTGAAACCCCGTCTCTACTAAAAATTCAAAAAAATTAGCTGGGCATGGTGGTGCGTGCCTGTAATCCCAGCTACTCAGGAGGCTGAGGCAGGATAATTGCCTGAACCCAGGAGGCGGAGGTTGCGGTGAGCCGAGATCACACCATTGCACTCCAGCCTGGGTAACAAGAGCGAAACTCCGTCTCAAAAAAAAAAAAAAAAAAAAAAAAAAAAGAACCTGTCATTAAACCAGAACAAAAGAAATAATTTTAATTGATCCATATAATGAGAATAACCTAGAAGAGCTGTTACCAAGTCAGTATGCTTTGGAATACTGGGGAACAGTGTTTCCCAGAATGGTAGTATAAGTGTTTTGGGGGAAGAGAGAGACTATATGTAAAAAATTGGGGAAGTATGGAATTAAAGTAAACATGCGAGTTATTTTTTTTTTCCCAACTGCAGTACTTCTCAGAGCCCTATACTAACATACATTCTGAATTTCCAATATTACATACAACATTTCCTCAACTTTATTTTACCAAATAGCTCCCCTCCTTCCCCAGTCAAGATCCTTTAAAAATAACAGAAGTGGGCCGGGTACAGTAGCTCACGCCTGTAATCTCAGCACTTTGGGAGGCCAAGGCGGGCAGATCATGAGGTCAGGAGTTGGAGACCAGTTTGGCCAACATAGTGAAACCCTGTCTCTACTAACAGTATAAAAAATTAGCCAGGCGTGGTGGCATGTGCCTATAATCCCGGCTACTCGGGAGGTTGAGGCAAGAGAGAATCACTTGAACCCGGGAGGCAGAGGTTACAGTGAGCCAAGATCGTGACACTGCACTCCCACCCAGGCAACATTGTGAGACTTCGTCTCAAAAAATATATAAATAAATAAATAACAGAAGTAAAAAAGATATCCAGATTAGGACTGAGATCCCCTGGGGTTGTTTGGCCTTTGAACCAAGTTTGAATTTTCTGGCTTTCCTAAAGTGAAGGCATGCTTCTACCCAGGTTCTCAAATTTTGCAGTATATTGAGAATGAGAGCTTATATATGCTGAATTCTTATATTCTTTTTTCTTATATATGCTGAATTCTTTTTAATTGGCAGTGGTTTTCTTAGCTCTTCTAAACACATGGTTCTTGTATATACAGGTAGATGATAGTTTGTAATACTCTGTAATACTCTTTCTCCCCCGGCCGGGCGCAGTGGCTCAAGCCTGTAATCCCAGCACTTTGGGAGGCCGAGGCGGGTGGATCACGAGGTCGAGAGATCGAGACCATCCTGGTCAACATGGTGAAACCCCGTCTCTACTAAAAATACAAAAAAACTAGCTGGGCGTGGTGGCGCGTGCCTGTAATCCCAGCTACTCAGGAGGCTGAGGCAGGAGAATTGTCTGAGCCCAGGAGGCGGAGGTTGCGGTGAGCCGAGATCGCGCCATTGCACTCCAGCCTGGGTAACAAGAGCGAAACTCCGTCTCAAAAAAAAAAAAAAAAAAAAACTCTTCCTCCCCAAAAAATAGTAGGACAAAGTTCTTCCTGGTTTCATAAGCTGTCCCAGAGTTGTACCAATAAATAGGAAACTGTTGGGGCAAGCTATCATTTTACAGTTGAGGGTGCTCACTAAAATCTGAACATTGGTTCCTGACCAGGGTTCCTGTTGTACGTGGTATAATAAGGCTCTGAGAACACCTGTTTTTGCAGAGAAATAAACCTAATTCATTTTGCTTTTTCTTTAACCTCTCAGGATATGCTTTACCTTTTAGAATCTTTCCACCTTTCTCAAAGAGCCAAGAAGAAATATCTGCAGTCCCTTTTATTATCTGAAACTGGGGTTTGCCACTGCCTCCCATACTGTAGAACTTAGCTAAACACCAGCCCAAAGCTGTTGTCCCTCTAAGAGCCACCAGTGACAGTAAGCTCAAAAGCTGTGGTTGTGAAAACGTTCTCAAGTGGCATCTAAAGAAAAGAGCAGCACCTTCAGTTCATATGTTTGCATTTCTCTAGATTCCAATTTGACTTATAAGTAATACAGATGGATTTCTGAACCTTCTCTAAAAATACTGATTAATCTACATAAAGATTTGTGGGATTTTCTTAATATTGTAGAAAGGTAATTTAAATCACCAGCTTGTATATTAAAGTATGCTTTGTGGCTGGGCACTGTGGCTTATGCCTGTAATCTCAGCACTTTGAGAGGCTGAGGCAGGGGATCACTTGAGCCCAGGAGTTGGAAACAGTCCTGGAAAACATGGCAAAACCCCCTCTCTACTAAAAATAAAAATTAAAAAATAGCCAGGCGTGGTGGTGCATACTGGTAGTCCCAGCTACTCAGGAGAGTGAGATGGGAGGACCACTTAAACCCAGGAGATCAGGGCTGCAATGAGCCAAGATTGTACCACTGCACTCCAGCCTGGGTGACAGAGACCCTGTCTCAAAAATAAAAAAATAAAGTGTGCTTTGTATCACAACTTTGCATTCTTTTTAACAGACTTGGAAGATGCTGCAAAAACACCTGACTGTTCCAATGGACCAGTGAAAGAGGAAAGAGGTGATCTCATAAAATTTTACAATACAATATATGTAGGAAGAGTGAAGTCATTTGCACTGAAATATGATTTGTCAAATCAGGACCATGTGGTATGTTTTATGTTTTACTATTTTATTATTATTTGCTGTCATAGTTGGATTACTCGGAGTTTATTTTGCTAGATAAATATGTCAAAGTTTAAAGCCCCACTGATGCATATATAGGAGAAAATTACTAGCAATTAATCAGAGCATGACTAGTAACTTCATCAGTGATTAAGGCTATGGTACAACATATACCAGAGAAAATCAAGGGATTTTTTTTTTTTCTTTTTTTGAGACAGGTCTCACTCTTTTGCCCAGGCTAGAGTGCAATGGCACAATCTCAGCCCACTGCAACCTTTGCTTCCAGGGCTCAAGTGATCCTCCCACCTCAGCTTCCCGAGTAGCTGGTACTACAGGCACGTGCTACCACATCCAGCTAATTTTTTTGTATTTTTAGTAGATACTGGGTTTCACCATGTTGTCCAGGCTGGTCTCGAACTCCTGGACCCAAGTGATTTACCCACCTCAGCCTCCCAAAGTGATGGGATTACAGGGGTGAACCACCACACCTGGCAGGAATTTTAGCTGTACTGTGATTATGTTGCTAGAAATTCTGTATACATATGGGTAAGAACTTGATGGGAACATGAATATTAACAGTTAATTTGGTAATTTTTTATGTTGTTTTCTGTTTCTCTTGTTATATTGTGAGATTAATGTTTTTCTCAAGATAAAGACAAAAGGGGCTGGACATAGTGGTGGCTCATGCCTGTAATCCCAGCACTTTGGGAGGCTAAGGCGGGCAGATAACCTGAGGTCAGGAGTTCAAGACCAGCCTGGCCAACATGGTGAAACTCTGTCTCTACTAAAACTACAAAAATTAGCTGGACATGGTGGTGGGTGCCTGGAATCCCAGCTACTCGGGAGGCTGAGGCAGGAGAACCACCTGAACCCAGGAGGTGGAGATTGCAGTGAGCCGAGATCGCTCCACTGCACTGCAACCTGGGCAACAAGAGCGAAACTCTGTCTCAAAAAAAAAGAGAGAGGCTGGATGCTGTGGCTCACACCTGTAATCCAAGCACTTTGAGAGGCCAAGGTGAGGGGATCACCTGAGGTCAGGAGTTCAAGACCAGCCTGGCCAACATGGTAAAACCTGTCTCTACTAAAAATACAAAAGTTAGCTGGGCATCATGGTGGGCACCTATAATCCCAGCTACTTGAGAGATTGAGACAGGAGAATCACTTAAGCCTGGGCAGCAGAGGTTGCAGTGAGCCAAGATTGTGCCATTGCACTCCAGCCTGGGCAACAACAAGAAGACTTCATCTAAAAAAAAAAAAAGACAAAAGGAAGTAGATAGGCCTGGATTACCAAAATTACCAAATTAATTGTTTTAATGAATATTACACAACTAATTACTCAGGAAGCTAAGGTAGGAGGATCGCTTGGGCCCAGGAGGTCAAGGCTGCAGTGAGCCACAATCACACCACTGCACTGCAACAGAGTGAGACCCTGTCTCAAAAAAAAAAGAAAGAAAAGAAAGAAGGCTATAGCAGAAGCTGCATCCAGCCAGCCAATAGCTGTGTGTATGTATCTGTATGCATCTCTACATTTCTGTTCTTCCTCTTTTCAAGGAATATGGTCTGTGACTATCCTCAGAGGTCAAAACTATTCATCCCATTCCATCAGTTTTACTTCCTGTCTGTCATTTGTATACCCTGAATATCTCTACCATCTTAATTTATTTCAATTATACAGGATATTAAAGAAGAATTAAATCCTTGCTCACCAACTTATTTCTAAATTTTTTCTATTTCCATATGAAGTCTTTCCCATTTCATTAACAGATTTTTTCCATGTTGGAATCATCCTGCTGGCTTATAGAATTCTCTGCCTCTCTTTATTACCTCTGCTACTGCTTTGGTTGAGGGAGGTGTGTTTGTGGAGAGAGACTGTTATAGCAAATGTTAGAAAATTAGTTACTCTTTGTCTCTACTTTCTAAGCGTGAATATGACGTTCTGATGCTCGTGGCTTACCTCCTGGCATCTTGTCTAGGATTTTTTTTTTCTTTCGAGACAGAGTCTCACTCTGTCATCCAGGGAGGAGTGCAGTGACACAATCTCAACTCAATGCAACCTCCATCCCCTGGGTTCAAACAATTCTTGTGCTCAGCCTCCCAAGTAGCTGGGACTACAGGCACATACCACCATGCCTGGCTAACTTTTATATTTTTAGGAGCTACTCAGGAGGCCGTAGTGGTGTTTCGCCATGCTGTCCAGGCTGTCAACTCCTGTCCTCAAGTGATATGAGCACCTTGGCCTCCCAAAGTGCTAGGATTATAGGAGTGAGCCACTGCGCCGCACTCCAGAATTATGGTTTTTTTGAGTCAGAGTGTCATTCTGTCACCTAGGCTGGAGTGCAGTGGCACAACCTGGGCTCACTGCCACACCTCTCCCTCCTGGGTTCAAGTAGTTCCTCAGCCTCCCAAGTAGCTCAGATTACAGGCATGTGCCACCATACCCAGCTAGTTTTTGCATTTTTAGTAGAGATAGTACAACATTTCACCCTCTTGGCCAGGCTGGTCTCTGTGAGCCACCATGCCTGGCCAGAATTCTTTTTTTTTTTTGAAATAGAGTCTTGCTCAGTCACCCAGTCTAGAGTGCAGTAGCATGATCTTGGCTCACTGCAGCCTCCACCTCCCGGGTTCAAGCAATTCTCCTTCCTCAGCCTGCTGATTAGCTGAGATTACGTGTGCGTTCCACCACACCCGGCTAATTTTCATATTATTAGTAGAGATGGGGTTTCATCATGTTGGTCAGGCTGGCCTTGAACTCCTCACCTTGTGATCCACCTGCCTCAGCCTCACAAGATGCTAGGATTACAAGCATGAGCCACCGCGCCCAGCCAGAATTCTTAATACTAGTTATAGGATATCCTGAAAGATTGAGGATAAATTCTGGTTTATCTGTTGTTGTTAAAAAAAAAAAAAGAAGTAATGGATTTTTATTTATTTATTTATTTATTTTTGTTCTTCTCAGCCATAAGTAAGCTTTTACAGTATAACTGATTCCTAACTAGGAGTTACCATAAGAATAAAAATACGAGATTCAAAAACAAAGAAACACTTTTATCTAAAAATCTTGACTTTTGGGTTATTTTAGATGGATGTTCCACCACTCTCTCCTTTTCCTCATATTAAACAACAGCCAGGCTCACCGCGCCGCATTTCCCAACAGCACTCCATTTATGTTTCCCCTCACAAGAATGGGTCAGGCCTTACACCAAGAAGTGCTCTGCTGTACAAGTTCAATGGTAGCCCTTCTAAGGTAAGGTGATACAGGCTTTACTCCAAAGCAACTTATGTACATACATAGGTTAAAAGTTAGATTTCAGATTAACAGTCAGCAATTGTTAATCTTGCCTCTTTTTTTTTTTTTTTTTTTTTTTTTGGCCAAGTTACTACTGTGCTAACAAAATATGAGCTGCTAACTATGGCATGTCTCCTCTCATCAAGAGCAGTGTCTTCAGTTTGAGGTAGTTTAATTCATTACTATTGGCATGGTATTTGTGGAGTTCACTTTGAAAGTCCCTAGCATGTTTCTCTGTTCAAGCAAGATCTTGAGAAGGGGCCAGTAAGGCAACACCTGCATGTGATCAGATATGGGGGATGATGTCAAGTTTAAAGAAAGGCGTTGGAAGTGAAAGTACATTTAGTGGATGGTAACCAGGAAAACGTCTGAAAACAGAAGCCTCCTCTTATGTGCATGGACAACTCTTTGATTATCTCCATCCTTATCCCTGTTCAACAATGAAGATGTGATGGACATGATTGCTGCTTTCACATACTTCATGGACTATCAAGCAGATATGTTCAGTATGTCTCCAGAAGTCAGAATCAGTATAAACTGGAAGAAATTGTAGTGGGGCACATTGTAACTCAGTCAAAACACAGTGGCTGCTTCTTAACTCATTACTTTCTTATTCAGTTACACAGATAACAATTAAGTTCCTACTATACTTGATAAAGTTGACTAAGATAATATACCTGACTGGGCACAGTGGCTCAAGCCTATAATCCTAGCACTTTGGGAGGCAAAGGCAGGAGGATTGAGCCCAAGAGTTCAAGGGCAATATAGCAGGCCACCATCTTTACAAAATTTTTTTTTTTTTTTTTTTTTTGAGACGGAGTTTCGCTCTTGTTACCCAGGCTGGAGTGCAATGGCGCGATCTCGGCTCACTGCAACCTCCGCCTCTCGGGTTCAGGCAATTCTCCTGCCTCAGCCTCCTGAGTAGCTGGGATTACAGGCACGCGTCACCACGCCCAGCTAATTTTTTATATTCTTAGTAGAGACGGGGTTTCACCATGTTGACCAGGATGGTCTCGATCTCTTGACCTCGTGATCCACCTGCCTCAGCATCCTAAAGTGCTGGGATTACAGGCTTGAGCCACCGTGCCCAGCCCAAAAAAATTTTAAAAGCAAAACAATTATCTGGGTTTGGTGACATGCACCTATAGTCCCTGCTACTCAGGAGGCTGAGGTGAGAAAATCACTTGAGCCCTGGAGGCTACAGTGAGCTGTGATTGAACCACTGCACTCCTACCTGGGTGACAGAGTGGAACCCTGTCTCAAAAAACAAAAAGATTCACTTATTCACAGACTTACATTTCTTTCTTTTGCAAATTTATTTCCCATAAGGATGTTCAGAAGAGATTGCTGCATGGAATCAAAGATTGACTTGACTTCTAAGACAGTGATTCTGAAATCATGAATCAGAATCACCTGGGGTGCTTATTGAATGCAGATACCAGTCCCACAGACCTTGTGAATCACTAGCTAGCAGATCTAGGACTCTCTGACAAGCTCCCTATAATTGTTATATATATGGATTTCAAGAACCACTTTTCTGCGACCTTGTTACTCAGAGTATGGTTTATGGACCAGCAACATCAGGATCACCTGGGAGCTTGTGAGAATTCCAGAATCTCAGGCCCTACACCAGCCCTACTAATTTTGAATCTGCAGGTTAACAAGATCTCTACATGATTAGTAAGCACATTAAAGGTTGAAAAGCAGCTAGGCCAGGTGGCTTACACTTGTAATCCTAGCACTTTGGGAGGTCAAGGGGGAAGGATTGCCTGAGTGCAGGCGTTCAAGACCAGCCTGGGCAACATGGTGAAACCCCGTCTTTGCTAAAAATACAAAAAATTGGTCAGACATGGTGGCTCACGCCTGTAATCCCAGCATTTTGGGAGACCGAGGCAAGTGGATCACCTGAGGTTGGGAATTCGAGACCAGCCTGACCAATATGGCAAAACCCCATCTCTACTAAAACTACAAAAAAATAGCCAGGCATGGTGGCCTGCACCTATGGTCCCAACGAGGGAGGCTAAGGCAGGAGAATTGCTTGAATCCAGGAGGCAGAAGTTGCAGTGAGCCAAGATTGTGCCCTGCACTCCAGCCTAGGCAACAACAGCAAAAAAATTCTAGGTACTTCTGCTGCTTCTAGTCTGGGTACTACACATTGAGAACTACTGTTCTACAGTAAATTCAAATTTTTTTTATTTATTTATTTATTTTTGAGACAGGGTCTCATTCTGTTGCCCAGGCTAAAGTACGGTGGCATGATCACTGCTCACTGCAGCCTCAACCTCCCCAGGCTCAGGTAATGCACCCACCTTAACCTACTGAGTAGCTGGAACTACAGGCACAAGCCACCACACCTGGCTAATTTTTGTATTTTTTGTAGAGACTGGGTTTGCCCTGTTGCCCAGGTTGGTGTCTAACTCCTGGGCTCAAGTGATCAAACCATCTTGGCCTCTCAAAGTGCTGGTATTATAGGCCACCACACCTGGCCTTAAATCTGATTTTTTAAACTATCTGAAAAGATTAGTTCTAGCCATCCCTTATTAGGTTGTTCTAAGTTTAAAAAAGAATCATTATCCCATTGTTAAGATTTGGATAGAGGATAGAGCGCAGGAAAAAACAGTTAACTTGGTTGTTTGCTGCCATTTCCCCTCTCCTTCCCGTATTCACACACTTTCTGTTTCTGTACAGAGTTTGAAAGATATCAACAACATGATAAGGCAAGGTGAGCAGAGAACCAAGAAGCGAGCAATAGCCATCGATAGTGATGCAGAATCCCCTGCCAAACGTGCCTGTCAAGAAAATGATGATGTTTTACTGAAACGACTACAGAATGTTGTCAGTGAGAGAGCAAGTCATTAATGTTGTTGTTGTTTCTGTGATAAAAGCACTTTCAGATTGTTCTGCAGAAAGTTGTAGCTCTGTCCTTCAAACCTTTTAGGCCCTGTAGATGGTAAATGTCACTGGGTTATAAGAAAAAATTGCACAAAAATTATGTGCTTTTAATATCCAAAATGTAGTCGACAGAGATGTATTTTAAGTTGGATTGGAAAGGAATATTTTAAGTGCCTTTTAAAAATATTAATAGTCAAGGAATTTTTTTTTTAATGTGTGCTCCTTGGGTTAGTTTTCAAGATGAAATAAGGAGAAACCCCATAACTTTTTAGCTCTCTTTTAAAAATGAATGTCTCCTTCTTCTGTGTTTTGTAATATGAGGATAAATAATCTACTTTTGGTAAGCATGCTTTCAGATATTTGTATTCTCAATTTAATATTGAAGGAGGGGGTTGGTTCCCAGAGTACCTGAGCCAGAGGGTGTTGTACCAGCCTGTCTCTGGCCCACTGTGGTAATTCCACATCCAGTTGCCACCACCATTCAGGGTTGTCTGACCCCTTCTCATGCCTTTTCTCTCCTTGAGCATAAGCAGATTTGTACCTGAGCCCCAGTGCTACCCTTATCCTTGCTTTCACGTCCTAAGCCATATTAGCCTGATGTTACAACCCAGTAAATGGGGCACTTTCTTCTTTTGTAAACTATCATTTTGGTTTCTGTGACATTAACTTAATCATACATGATTGCATTAACTCATGTAGTTCTCAAAATTGGCAGCTGCTTCTCAACCCAGGAGAATAAAATTCAGTTAGTTATTAAAAGCTAAATTTCCAGGGGCCGGGCGCGGTGGCTCAAGCCTGTAATCCCAGCACTTTGGGAGGCCGAGGCGGGTGGATCACGAGGTCAAGAGATCGAGACCATCCTGGTCAACATGGTGAAACCCCGTCTCTACTAAAAATACAAAAAATTAGCTGGGCATGGTGGTGCGTGCCTGTAATCCCAGCTACTCAGAAGGCTGAGGCAGGAGAATTGCCTGAACCCAGGAGGCAGAGGTTGCGGTGAGCCGAGATCGTGCCATTGCACTCCAGCCTGGGTAACAAGAGCGAAACTCCGTCTCAAAAAAAAAAAAAAAGCTAAATTTCCTATTAGTAAGGTAACATCATGATGATGTGTGGTATACTATTTTTCAGATCATACTATCAGTCATGTCTAATTGAATCCCTAAGAATATTTGAAACCGTTTTAAAAACCACATAATTCTAATATGTTGAATACATCAGTAAAACAGCTGCTTATTACTTCCCCTGGCTTTGTTCTCGATGTTATTAGTGCATCATGAGTTTCCTGCTACTATTTAACCACTGGGTACTCCTGAAGATGTTTTCCATACTAGGTATGCAGCTTTCCAAAATATCACCTCTTTAACATTTACTTTTTCTAATATGTGTCCAGAATCCAGAGGACATGGATAAGCCATTCATAGTTTATTTTGAGAAGTTTTATCAGATATTTATGTTTCTAACTGCAAACCTTAATTTTTGAAAGGCACAATGTTTAACTCACCTCTCTTTAACCAGGCTCATTTAAAATAGTCTAAGATTTGGCTGTCACTAATTAGTATTGTCAAGAATTTTATTTTTCTATTTTAAGGAGAAAAGGTCACATTTTGCTTGTAAATGAAAATTACATCCTTATTCTTTGTGTAGTATCTACACATTGTTATAAGCCAAATAACAAAGTCTATCTTGAATCCTTGTACATATTTGTATGTCGCCATAACTGTTGTATCATTTTTATCTTCATTATTGTGCAAAATGTAAATAAGCATTTGTACATTGACTGTATAAGAAACCCTGGGTTGGGTGCTGTGGCTCATGCCTATAATCCCAATACTTGGGAGGCCAAGGGAGGAGGATTGCTTCAGTCCAGGAGTTCAAGACCAACTTGGGCAACATAGTGAGCCCTCATCTGTACAGAAAAATTTAAAAATTAGTTGGGCATGGTGGCATGTTCCTGTAGTCCCAGCTACTCAGGAGACTGACATGAGAGGATCACTTGAGGCCAGGAGATTGAGGCTGCAGTGAGCTGTGATTGCACCACTACACTCCATCCTAGGTGAGAGGGCGAGACCCTGTCTCAGAAAAGAAAAAAAAAAAAAATTATTGACATGTTTTTATCAGTTTTCAGGACTTCGTATCAATGTACATAAAATGGCTAATAAAAATTGGAATTGAGATTATTGAAAATATTTTCTGTATGACTAGAAGCAATTGCACAGCCATCTAAAATCTGTCTTTTTAAATACCTGCTTATGTCTTTAAATTTTCTTAGTATAACTTAATGTTCCTATGGTTTCCAGGGTCTAGGGGGAAAATGAAAAATAACTGCTTAATGGATACAGAGTTTTTTTGGGGGGAGTGATAAAACTGTTTTGGAACTTGATATAGGTGGCATAGTTGCATAACATTGTGAATTTACTAAATGCCACTGTATTGTATACTTTAAAATGGTTAATTTTGTGTTATGTAAATTTTACCTTAATTTTTTTTTTTTAAGTCTTAGATACTGTATTAGTCTGTTTTCACACTGCTGATGAAGACATACCCAAGACTGGGAAGAAAAAGAGATTTAATGGACTTACAGTTCCATGTGGCCGGGAGGCCTCAAAATCATGGTGAAAGGCAAGGAAGAGCAAGTCATATCTTAACATGGATAGTGGCAGGCAAAGAGAGAGCTTATGCAGGGAAACTCCCATTTTTAAAAGAATCAGATCTTGTGAGACACATTCACTATCACGAGAACCGCCCAGGAAAGACCCAGCCCTGCAATTTAATTACATCCCACTGGGTTCCTCCAGCGACACATAGGAATTGTGGGAGTTACAATTCAAAATGAGATTTGGGTGGGGACACAGCCAAACTATATCATTCTACCCCTGACTCCTCCCAAATCTCATGTCCTTACATTTCAAAACCAATCATGCCTTCCTAACAGCCCCTCAAAGTCTTAACTCATTTCAGCATTAACCTGAAAGTCCACAGTTCAACATCTCATCTGAGGCAGTCAGTTCTATCTATGAGCCTGTAAAATCAAAGGCAAGTAAGTTACTTCCTAGCTACAATGGGGCACAACCACTGGGTAAATACAACCATTTCAAATGAGAAAAATTGGCCAAAACAAAGGGGCTACAGGCCCCATGCAAGTCTGAAATCTAGCAGGACAGTGAAATCTTAAAGCTCCAAATTGATCTCTTTTGACTCCATGTTTCACATCCAGGTCACGCTGATGCAAGAGGTGGGTTCCCATGGTCTTGGGCAGCTCCACCTCTGTGGTTTTGCAGGGTACAACCTCCCTCCTGGCTGCTTTCACAGACTGGCATTGAGTGTCTGCAACTTTTTCAGGCACATGGTGCAAGTTGTCAGTGGATCTACCATTCTGGGGTCTGAAGGACAGTGGCCATCTTCTCACTGCTCCACTAGGTGGTACCCCAGTAGGTACTCTGTGGTGCCTCCAGCCCTACATTTCTTTTTCACACTGCCCTAGCAGAGGTTCTCCATGAGAGCCCTGCCCCTACAGCTAACTTTTGCCTGGACATCTAGGCATTTTCATACATCCTCTGAAATATAGGCAGAGGTTCCCAAACCTCAGTTCTTGACTTCTGTGCACTCACAGGCTCACCACCACATGGAAGCTGCCAAGGCTTGAGGCTTGCACCTTCTGAAGCCATGGCCCTTTCAGTCACGGCAGGAGTGGCTGGGACTTAGAGTACCAAGCCCCTAGGCTGCAACCAGCACTGGGACCCGGGACCCATCCCACAAAACCACTTTTTCCTCTTAGGTCTCCAGGCCTGTGATGGAAGGGGCTGTGATGAAGATCTCTGACATGCCCTGAAGACATTTTCCCCATTGTCTTGGTGATTAACATTCAGCTCCTCATTGGTAATGCAAATTTCTGCAGCCAGCTTGAATTTCTCCTAGAAAATTGGATTTTCTTTTCTATCACATTGTCAGTCGGCAAATTTTCTGAACTTTTATGCTCTGCTTCTCTTATAAAACAATGTCAGCCAGGCATAGTGGCTCACACCTGTAATCCCAGCACTTTGGGCAGCTGAGGTGGGCAGATCACCTGAAGTCAGGAGTTCAAGACCAGCGTGACCAACATGGTGAAACCCCATCTCTAAAAAAAAAAAAATGCCTTTAATAGCACCCAAGTCACATCTTGAATGCTTTGCTGCTTAGAAGTTTCTTTCCCCAGATACCTTAACTCATCTCTCTGAAGATCAAAGTTCCACAAATCTCTAGGGCAAGGGCAAAATGCTGCCAGTCTCTTCACTAAAACATAACAAGAGTCACCTTTACTCCAGTTCACAACAATTTCCTCGTCTCAATCTGAGATCACCTCACCCTGGATTTCATTGTCGATATCATCAGCATTTTCATCAAAGCCATTCAGCAAGTCTCTAGGAAATTCCAAACTATCTCAAGTTTTCCTGTCTTTTTCTGAGCCCTCCAAACAGTTCCAACCTCTGCCTGTTACCCAATTCCAAAGTCACTTTCACATATCTGAGTATCTTTTTCAGTAGCACCCCACTTCTGGTACCAATTTACTGTATTAGTCCATTTTCATGCTGCTGATAAAGACATACCTGAGACTAGGAAGTAAAAGAGGTTAAGTGTACTTACAGTTTCACATGGCTGGGGAGGCCTCACAATCTTGCAAAAGGCAAGGAGGAGCAAGTCACGTCTTACATGGATGGTGGCAGGCAAAGAGAGAGCTCATGCAGGAAAACTCCTGTTTTTAAAACCATCAGATCTCATGAGATGCATTCACTGTCATGACAACAGCCCAGGAAAGACCCACCACCATAATTTAATCGCCTCCCACTGGGTTCCTCTCACAACATGTGGGAATTGTGGGAGTTACAATTCAAAATGAGATTTGGATGGGGACACAGCCAAACCATATCAGATACATATGAAGAAACAGGATTATTTCAAGGCCTTGGAATGCACATGTGGACTAAGTTATGATAGTTTATTAGGGAAAAGGCTCATTTCTCTCTTTGGAGTGATTTCAAGGTATATTTCTCCACATGAGACCTACAGCTTATTTTTTTTTTTTTTCAGACTGTCTCCCACTTGTTGCCCAGACTAGAGTGCAATGACATTATCTCGGCTCACTGAAACCTCTGCCTTGGTTCAAGCAATTCTGCTTTAGCCTCCCAAGCAGTTGGGATTATGGGTGCAAATTACCATGC